CGCAGTAGAACTTGCACAAGTATGTTATTTTGCCGAGTAGTCTGCAAAACGAGTTCATCAGACCACTTTCCAAGCCTGCACATATATTCTCATTCACTTCAATTCCTGTTGAATTCACTTACTTGATGCGTCGCACTGCAGGTAGTCCACCTCTGTCGCCGTGTGGCTTCCCAAGATCTCGAGAGGAAGCGGTAAAGTTTGACGCTTGAGTCACCTTCGCGACTGTGGCCGCCTTTCACGCAGCAGTTTTTGTGGGAACTCTAGGAGTAGGCGAAATGTCACAGGAACCCGGTGACGTCATAGAGACGTAAAGTTCGGACTTACTTTTAGGAAAAACGGTTCTAAAATGCCACGTTCACGCGTGGTTTCTAAATGCGGCCGCCCGCTGTCCCCGCGACACGCGTCGTCCTGGCCTACCCACTTTTTTTTATTTTGCGTCCGGTAGATGGCGCTACGTGTAGTGCCAAACTGCATTGCCGGTTGCCTATACCTGCCTTAAATCTCCACGCACTGCGACAAGAAGAGAAAACCGCCGACAAAGTGCAGTCGGTATACGGCGCCAGCACAAGAAAGTGTAGCAGCATATGGAATCTGCCTTAACCCTTTGTCGCATACTTAGAAAACGTCAATGCAAATCATAAAATTTTGCGTTTTCGCAACCATTGGTATTGAGTTGAGACCCAGGATTTTTTTTTTTTTCTTAGCTTTCAGGGATGTCGTACAGAACGTCCACAGTGGACAGCATGCACTGGGGGCACAAGATCCCTTTCGTCCCCTGACCATAACTTTGGCTTTTTTTTTTTTTTAAACGCTACGTCTTTTTCTTGGTGGTGAAGCTTGGGTTTCCGTGTATCGATTCTCTTCATCACTGTCATCACCTTGGCTGGCATCTTCCGAGCTATCATCACACCTGCCTTGATCATACTCTACTGCATAATCGATGTCATCATCCCCGCTCTCTAAAATATCATCATCACTTCGTGACGGCACTCCGTCTGTCCGTAAAGGGATACTTCAACGAAATTTGAAATATTCCCGTCGTGTTCAAAAATAGGTTGAATATGATCCACAATATCCGTAAATGACAATCGCACGTTTGTATTTTGAGCCTGGGTGGCTGTATTTTTCGTTATAAACGGCCCACTCTGGCAAGCGCTCGGAAAAGGCCCAGCGGAGACCACGTGACATTCAACGCAATCGTGACGTAGGTCGTTTCGGGACAAGCAAAGCTTTAGCGAGGCTGACGTTGAGAGGATGGCCTAGTCGTTCCAGCCACCGAAGCGGCTGTTTTTGTGCGAATTTTGAGTGACGGGTTAATCTTCTATAATCTTGTAGGGGGACAATAGCGACTTCTGCGACACACAAAAGGCATTCTCGGGAAGAGGGGAGTTCCCCCTTCCCCTCTTCTTTCGTCGTGGCCGGAGGCGGGACAACCTCCGTCACTAGCTGTCAAGGTTCCTAGACGAGCATTACAAACAAGGCGTTAGTGACGTCCACCAGGTGCTCTTTGCTAATCGTTTAATTCGTTTTAAAATTCCTCTTCGAGACTTTTTTAACAAGATATTGGTATGTTCAATGTGATACTGGTTTTTTGAACACATATACACCAAAAAGTGAGCGCCGAAATTTCGTTGCAGTATTCCATTAAATAGGACATTGATTTCTGAGTCAGATAGTGGAATATCCAATAAAGCATCGATGTCTGCTTCCCTCAAAGGCGACTTGGTAGCAGATCGTCTGCCCCTAAAAAAAAATATCAAAATAGAGTATTTTTTCTTGAAATATGGAGAATTATGGTGTCTTATTCATTACAACTAAAAATTTGGCCATTCCAGTATATTTACAGCGTTACAGTACCAAAGTACAGAACTCACATGTGTAGTCAATCAGCCAACCCGCACAGTGACACCTCGACGGTAGCACGCACCATACTCGCTACCCACAAAAAAAATTATTCGTTAGTTTTTAAGTTTGCCACAGTATGCGACATTGTTTCCCACTGGAGATAAAAAATTTACCCAGTGCAGTACGACTGCTAGCGTGGGGTCCTTAACGGATATCACGCAGTAGTCATACGTGATCGCACGCCGGTGCGATATTCATCCAGTTCGAAGAGGCAAACTATACCCACACCGCACGCCCGAACGACTTCCTCGAACGACTGAGTTGATGATGAGAAAGACAGCGAAGGTGGCGAAGGCCCGTGCGATTAAAACAATAAAGAACAAAAATACAATGGGCGACTTGCTGTTTCTAAAAAACACGCACACGCACAAAAAAGAAAAAAAGTTCAAGCAGCGTCAAGGGATATGGGCGACTGGAGTCCCGGTGACCGGCGCCGCAGTGTCGCGAGCGTCGCGGCCTCGCCTCTTGGTGCCTCCAGATTTCACGACCGCGAAACAAACGAGCCGAGAGCCGTCCACTTTTTGTTTTTTATTATGTTTTTTGTGTCTGCTTTCCCCTTTCTAGAGGAATATTGCTTAGCAGCATGAAAAACACCCCTCTAGCACACGCACACACACACACACACACACTCGCGCGCGCATGCACACAGAGAAAGAAAAGTTTTTTAGCCCCAAGGCATAGTCAGTATAAGGGGTATTCACTGGGCGCCATATTTGTGGGTAATGTCTAGAGCGCATGCTCTGAACGAGCCCACATTAATAGGCAGCTAAGACCGTCAATCTTGAGGGTGCGCAATGCACGTTACGAAAGAACTGTGGAAGCTCGCCATCAGCACGCGCTCAGCAGTCGTGCACACAGCTATGGCCGCCAGTGAATACTTCCTATAGACGATTGCAAGCTGGGCGACTGGCCGCCGCCATGTCTCTGCTCGAGCAGGCACGCCCGTGCGATTACGAGCTTGCGAAAACTACGTTCACCCGCGCGTTGCACGCGCTTGCACGCATTGGGCACCACTTGTGGCGCCATGCTTGCAATTGTCTATACTCTGTTTCACCTTACGATGGACCGCGATGGACGCTACGTGCTACACGTGCCAGTCCGTAGTTCATGGCTTGTCTCGTGACTTCGTGCTCGCCGCGTCACTCCGCCCAACCGGAAGGGCACGTGACGCCCTCCGAGCTATCAATTGGCTCCTGTGTCTTGTAGCGTCCTATGCGGTCCATCGTAAGGTGAAACAAAGTATACAAGTGTACGCCACCACGTCGACGCCAATTCGTGCTGCACATAGACGGGAAATATACTTATTTGTTGCAGTATGTGAGCTTTCTTCACGTCGTTGCCGCCGTTCCTTTAGTCAAGACTGAGCCGCTGACGCCACCATCTTCACTATTTAATTGGCTTCGCGCCGCCACCCCAAGAAGGCGCAGCTAACATTTCAATACGCCCAGTGTTGTGCCCGTTACCGAAAATAGGTAACGAAATAACGTTAATCGGTAGCTTGGAAACAAGCTAACGAGTTACAGAGGGGGCAATTGGAGCCAGTTGGTTCATGACCACCTAAAGAAGCGCAAAAAAATACAAGGACGACGAAGGAAACAGACAAGAGCACTACTCGCAACTGGTTTTTATTTGTGCAAACAATCAAATAAATAGCTTCGAACTAACAAATACTCTCTCCTAATTTCTGTTTAACCCCCGTAACAAGAATGAATACTCGATCCCCGATAAGGAAAGGGACGTGTCACTTGTGCATTTCTTGCCCTTTGCCCGGATTTCGAAGACTTCGGGCAGATCTCCAGAAACCCCATCCGGGTATCTAGCCAGAAACCTGGTTTCGCCAAATGACGGGCACATGGGCAATGACGGGCACATGGCAACCTTTTCAATTCTGAGGTTAAGGACCAGGCGAAGAGCAGAAGGTGACGAGAAATTGCAACGGCCAGGGTCTTCCGGGGTCACAATAGCTACGAAGTCACCTAAGCAGTCACCTAAGCAGTTTTTTTCGTTTTAAGTTCCACGTTTCATAGATGGCACCACCAGCCACCATCAGGCCCGTGCCCTCAGGCCGGTCGCCCCGGGCGTTTGAGCCCCATGTTGTTGAACCCTCATAGAGAAAGTAAGGTTCGAGAACTCCAACGTCTCAGTCGTCTCTTTCTCCCGGAACTTTTGCCGTCCCCCCGGGCTCTACCGGTCACCACATCTCATCGACGTGTGAGATCTCGTTTTTTCAGCAGGCCCGCGTGGGCCCTGCTTCTCTTCTCATTGTTTTGTGGGTTTTCCTCTCTGTGAATCACAACAGAAGGCGTGAGCTGTGTCGGGGCACACGTCACGGAAACAGGCATTGTGCTTGTCGTCAGGCGCCCGTCACTTACTTGAGGTTCGCGAGAAAGATGTGGGCAGGTGACCTCTGAGAGCCATTCAAGCAGCGCCGAAAGAGGATCTGGAAGGGCACATGGTCTGATCCAGCTTCGACGATAGGGAGGCCTCAGCCAAGCTGGGTTTCGGGTGAAGCCTCCGCAGGATGCACGAAAAGGGACAAACAGGATATCCTTAAAAGGTGCCTGCTGCACACTGTTGAGTGGCAGGAGGCAGAATTGGGGCGCAGTCTTTCCTCCTAATCAGCTTCAGTCATTTTTCATGGTCCCGGGTGTAGCTTGGGGCATAATAAAGTGACAGATGCGGCAGGTTCTTCCCCGCAGCAACCAATAAAAAATGTCAAAAATATCACCAAGAATACAACGCGCGAGAGAAGCTTATTCACTTCGTTCACATTTTCTGTCTCGTATGGGGAAGCAACGTGTCCTTGTGGTGATAGCTGGCTACCGGCGATTGGAGAGGCATTATCAGTATACAGGAGGTTATGAGTCAACATATGAGGCACTACTTTTAAGAAACTGGCAAACGCAAGTCGTCTAGACTTATATAATTGTAAATAAAGCTGACTGTTGAATGCGCATTTGAAGAGAACAAAAAACAATAACTTTATAGGTTTCATGCATGAGTCTTCGCTTTCTCCACTGCAGATTTGTTTAAGCAGTGGATTCGAAGAACTCCCTCAGAAGTATTCCTTATCCACTTTGGTTTCGCGTACACTCTCAGTGCAGATAGTCCCTGAAGTCGTACCCGAACATCTCGAAGTCGAAGAAAAACCGCTCATATAAGCGCATCACCTGATCGGAGGTGAGCTCTTTAAAAAACTTTCGGGCAGACTTGCGGTACGCGTGATCGCCACTCTTGTTTTCGTGCGGAATGTCCTTTGACCGAACACCTAGCGCTTCAAAGAACAGCGCAAAATCCCTGCTTGCTGTCTCCAGCTTTCCGACGACCTCGTACTTGACGGTACAAGGCTGACACGTCATGTAGTACGGAGCCCAATGAGGATCCATCTCGTTCTTTCTCTGATACAGTATGTAATCAATGAACTCCGGGAAGGTCAAGTTTCGACCCGTTGCCTTGACGCCAGGCACGTCGTTCCAGTACCGCTCGTAAAAATAGTCATTGACAGCACGTGGGGCTAGTGCCTTGTCCACGTAAGCGGATACAAGCCTCTCGAAGGGATGCCTCACGAACATGGCGGTTGTGTAGTGCTCCTCGTTGCTCCTTTGTAGGAACGTCATGGGTGAGACTGTGCGGACCTGCTCATGAAATGCCCTGTGAAAGCTGTCAACTGTGTTTTGCGTGTTGCTGATGTTGAGCAGGAGCCCGAAGATGGTCTTCACTGTGGTGGACGCAACCTTGTTGATGAAGCAGTAGCCGACTTTCCGTGCGGGGTCGATGATGATCGGACATCTTGTGATGTGGCACAGGTCGGGCCGTTCGTAGCCGAAGTTGGGAACCACCAAGGTCACTTGGTACTTGCGACACACTTCGTTGATTCTTTTTGCTCTGGATGCGAAGTCATCGTCGCTACGTCTGGAAGTCTGCGGAAACAAAAATAAAGAGCACGGAATTAACAATCAACACGGGAAGTGCAAAACTGTTCTGGGCGCAGATGGTATACATTGCGAATTGCGGGCCTTGCGCCCACGTGCTGAATCTGTGCTCGAAGAGTCGTCACGAGCTCCCGCTGTCAACGCAAAACCCTTGCGTACGATCTACGAAAAGTCCTTGTTATCTAGAACCTATTGTAGGGTCAAGTGTATGCACGTCGATTTCATGAGCGCTTTTAGACAACGAGAGCTGAAATTTTCTAGGATACCAAGCAAAAACGAAACAAAACTATATATTTCGTTCCCTGTGCGACAAACATGAAATCGGAAAACGGCCAACGTAAGTTTTATTCAAAGGAGTCCCGTCAGAACAACACTTGGAATATCTACAGAAGAAATCGGAATCGGAATGTCCACTATGCTCGCTGACAGGATGGGAAAGGCAGGGCGTTTATACGGATGCCGGGACATCAGCACGCGCCCATTGGCTTCCACCGTGCTTCGGCTGCATGTGCACGCTCGAAGCTCACAAAACGCTGGAGCATTATCGAAGGCAGGAAGATCGCTCGGGAGGCGGGATAACTGAGGGACCTCCCTGACGTACTCATCCTGTCAGTGACCATAGCGGCAACACGTAAGGGCCCTACGCACATCTGCGTTTGAGCGCGGTGCGTTCCATAGGAGTCAGCGGACGCGTTGCGTTGCGAAGAGTGCTTGCGCCAAGCTTGTACACACATTTGCGCTGACACGCAGTTAACCGCAGTCAAGAGCCAATAAGAACGCGCTATCGTCAGTATCGGCGTAAGCGAAATCTACGGCAGCATGGCGGCGCTCAGCGACAGCGTCGAAGTGTTCAATCTTGGGACAATCCCGGTGGCCTTCCCGACATTTTGCCGAGCTTGAACCATCGCAGCCTTGGAAAAAACAGTTCCCGCCGCTCCCCAAAAAGAAAAAGCGAGTTCTGCGAGCGGAGGACCAGATACACCTTGCCGAGTGGGGCGAGCGAACACGTCACCATCTCTCTTGGCTTCTGATTGGTCGAACGCACCGCAACGCTTCGGAAAGCTGAGAGACGCTCTACTCGCTTGCGTCACACTACCAAGCGCAACGGGAAGGCGCGCGTCGCACCGCAAGCGACCGCTCCTGTTCGCAAGACGTCGCAACGCACTCAAACGCGTTCAAACGCCAATGTGCGTATGGGCCTTGAGTATTACCTGCTCTCTGGTCGTGCCGCCGGATGCTGGCACTGGGCAAGAAGGCGGCCGTCCAATCCAGTCAAAATATACGAGCGAGGCCACAACTGCTGCGCACAAAACCACCAAGGCAATTTTTCTGACCGTACAAGTCGACATCTTAGCCATGCATGTACACTCTGGGGGACTCCAAGTTTGTGGGCGCTGCCCCGGAAGAAGAATAGAGCGCATCGACGTGGACGCAATCTGCTTTGTTGAACGTGAATGACGTTACAGCTGCAACAAAGCAAATGTCTCTTAAAATGCTCACGGCTGTGCGAGACATGTGCCGCATTGTTCAGGTAAGCACGCCATATTCCACGAAACGCCTGTGCTGGGGGAGGGGAGAGAGTAAACAATGATATTGTAGTGAGTCAAACATCGACATCTATTGGATGTACCCGCTTTATCCAAACGTCCAGATCCAGATGCAATGTTCTGAGGATCTTCTATGGATAATACAAATTAGACATTGTACAGAACGGACATCCAAAATACGTCGCGTGGACAGGTAGGTCGCAGATACCTTTTGGGGATGCTGAGATGCTGATATGTGCACATACTATAGACGTACCATGGATATTTGCTGCGTTTCGTCATCAAGTTTCCTTCGCTCACTTTTTCTCTTTTTTTTAAATATGAATAAAACACCGGCCTTGGCAGTCACCACCAAGTTAGGACTGTTTTCGGCAACATTGTGTATCGCGTTCACATACAAATCGCTTTAATTTAGTATTAAAAAAGGAGATTTTATACTTTTTTTTAACATTTCCATCAAGGTTTGGGGGCACCGGGTAAGGCCAGTTGGTTTGAGAGCACAAGTAAAAAGTAACAGAGGCTGCGGAATGTACTTGTACAAAATGCTACTTTGCGATCCTGCACACCCGAAATGTGCGTCCATGTGTGCTGCTCCTGCATGCGCGTGTGAGATACGGGCTCTATACTAATAGCGTGCCGTTCGGGCCGTGGCAGCACAACGTGCTTTTCTAGACTGCTTCTCCCAAATCTAGTGCAACGAGTGCAGAGCGTGATTAAGCGAAAATGAGTTATCCAAAAAAAGCGAAATCTTTTCTGGATAACCAACGGCATCAGTGACGTCATCAGGAACGTCACTGATGACATTATCAGTGACGATGACGATGCGGATGCCAAAGACGTCGTCAGTGACGTCAGTGATGACGCCATTAGGGACGATGACGATGCGGATGCCGATGACGTCATCAGTGACGTCACGCGTCCCATAATGCACCGCGCGGTTACGCCGACGGCGACGGCGACGGCGACGCCTCTTAAGTCGGAAACGGGCGCCTGAGAGCTGCGCTCTAAACTAACGTGGGAAAGAAAGAACTCGCACTCGACTATTGACTACTGTTTAATGTAGCGGAAGCTATACAACAGACTAGTAGGTATGGAAATAGATTAGGAAGGCACAAAATGTCTGGGGAGAGACCATAAAAGAATCAAAATCAGATTTGGCACACTAAAACCAGAGATGCAAAATAAAAAACAGAAGGGTAGAAATAACTTAAATGATAACAATTACAGGGCAATCTAAGCGAATCGAGAACATAGTATCCAAGCAACCGGAAAGAGAATGGACGTTTCAAGACTTAGTGTTTTCAAAGGGGAGTTAGAGAAATATAGAATCAAACAAGGGGGAAGAAAACCAAAACGCAGGCTGAAAAGCTGGATTGGATTGGAAAATGTCTTCATTCTATCGGCCATTGGCCTAGCACGACTAGAGAGTACTAGAAAGGACGAGTGGGGCGACCGGAGTAGACCGTAGCGTTGGCTACGCTCCGAACTAAGGTAAAGCAAAGCAAATATTCATGTCTTAGGGTTTTACAAGCCGAGCCAATAAAAATCACCTAACGCTTCAATAACAAAAAAAAATTGCGGGTTCATTTTAACTAAATGGAGGTCATTGGACGTGCAACCGAAATTTCAGATTGGCTTCCGTCAGATTGCGGAGACCTCGGCCGGTATTTAAACCCGACAAATATGGATTCATGAGGCACGGCGTTGGCTCAGAGGCACTGAGACGTTTCAATGCTTTGTGTTTTGTTTTGATATCACTGCCACTTAAGAGCCACCGAGGTGGTTTTTGAAACAAAATATAGTCGAACCATTCCGACAAGCATAGTTAGATTTCGAAAATGATTTTTGCAAGTGATAAAAAAAATTCAAATGTTTCCGCATACGTGGGGGAATCCCAAATGGCGGAATCCCTTTCACGGCGCCCATTTCATTTGGATCGCGTCCGGCATGTGTGCCGATGAACTGTGGTAGAACGGGCGCAAAAGCAGCTGTGGTGCACCCGCAGCCTCGCGCTTGCTGTTCTGACATCTCTGGCTCGATCACTGCGGGCATCTAGGCCATAGAGTTATTGCAATGAACGCTAGAGGTTCAGCTAGCGCTAGTGTCTACGGGACTTCCGGTTGCAAATTGAGGCAGACAGCATGCAGTCTACTTTTCCAGCCCGTATTCCTATGTGAAAACGTACGTGCTATTTTTTTTCATCGCCAGGGATTAATAGAAATCAGTTTAGTTTCTCTACTCGTAACGGTACTGCGTAGTTTTACTCACATTAGACAGTTTTAGTATAGCGTTGCTGGCTCTTACGTACGCAATACGCAATAGTCTAGCGTACGCTAAAAATGACCTGCTTGGACCGAATTTAGTACACCGCGCATGATCTTGGTCAGATTTACTAGAGCTGCAGAATTCCGCGTGCTTAAGCGCAACCATGCTTCTGGAAAGAAATATTGAAAATGAAAACGTGTCCAATCATTTTATTTCTAATTAAACCAAGCCGCAGCTGCCTCGTCAAGCGCGCTTTTCTGCGGGGTACAGAGGCTGCGAGTAAAGGCCGGTTCAGATACTTGCGTTTGAGTGCGTTTGACTGCGTTGCGTCGAGAACCGAAAGCGAGTCACCGGCACATCTGTGCTTCGTATGAAGCGTGCAACACAGTTCAAAGAATCATCTTAGCGCACGATATAAGTAGCAGGGATGTCCTGGTTTCTCGCTGCCGCCGCGCAGTCAAAACACAACTGTCTGAACCAGGCTTAAGAGTGCGTAGACAAATTCGATCACGGAGCCACCGTCAATCTTTTCTTTGAAACGGCACCTTTTATCAATGCTATCGCGGAATGAAATTCATAACCTACTGATGTCCAGTGCATAGCGAGAACTTCGGCGATTTCCTTTAGAGTCGCTCGTCCGTCGGCGATGAACTGTGCGAATAGGCTTAGCGTTGAGCAGATCGCAGCGTTGACGCACATTCCGAGCGGCGAACATTTTCACTGCGCACTCCTTCAGCTGCACGGCGATCTGATCCGACCGCCGTAGGTCCCAGAAAGAATTGCCGAGCTGAACACCACGCAATTTCACGTAACACAGAACTTTGAAAACACCACGTCGCCTTTGCTGCGCCAGTCGAGGTAACCGCCATCTTGAAACTGGTGCTCTCGTTGGGTCCGAGATCTCTCGAGAGCATCCCGCAGAGCCCGCTAGCCCGCCACGCAAAATCCCCAGCGTTGCGTGCGTACGCAATACGCTAGCCCTCTTATTGCGTTCTGCGCAAGCGCACTAACGACCCGCAATTTCCTTGCGTACGCAAAGCTATAGCGTACGGTCCACTAAAACTGTCTATTATCAAAGTGTAATTAATTTATTAAATGTATTTTTTTTATTATTGAGCGATGTTTAAGTTAGCAGAAATTGAGGCCCAGGGCTATGTTATACCGCATCATATGTCCATAAAAGATATGAATACAAGCAAAAAGAACAACAATCGTATTTATATCAGAACAACAACACTCGGTTACTGCTTTACTTTGATTATTCGTGCAAAGCTTGTTACTAATCCAGTAAGTGCTCTTCGCTCCATAACTCCATGCCCAGCAGCAGCAGCCATGGCCACACAGATTTGCTTGTCTGTCTTTTTTTTTTTTTTTTTCTAAACAATACATGGTGTCAGAAGGGCCAGAACTTTCCGCTTAAAGGTGAAAGTTGAGATTCCGCATGGCTGAGCTGAAGCCACCAGAAGTTCTGCGGCTATTTGAAAATGCTGCCGAGAACGGGAAGCTGTTCAAGCAATGGATGGAGGTATACTTCGCAGCCACGGAGACTAAGGAGCCAAGAACGCAATACCAAAAGGCTGCAACCTTACTGCACATTGCCGGTCAAAAAGCAATCGACGTGTTTAACACATTCCAGTTGACAGAAGAGGAGAAGAAAACTACGATGGTGTTGGTGAACCAGTTCAAAAATATTGCCTCCCGAGGGTCAACGACATCTACGAGCGATACATTTTTCTAACCAGAGTCCAGGAGCCTGGAGAAGGTTTCGAGACTTCCTGCCTTGACCTGAAGACGAGAGCAAGCACCTCAAACTTCGGGGATTTGTTTCATTCCGTGCTGCGTGACCAAATTGTATATGGCACATCCAACAAAAAACTTCGGGAAAAGCATCTGCGAGAAAAAGATCTGACCCTTATCAAGGCAGTTGATTTCTGCGAGTCCGCCGAAATATCCGAGCGCGAGAACAAAAACCTTCGAGCAGCTGGAACAAAATGTCGACACCGTCGCTCGTAACGAAAACCGCCAAGCGAGGAGAGAGTGCAAGTACAGCAGCTTTGTTCATGAGCCCCGCAGATGCACAGCATATGGCAAGATTTGCAAACAATGTGGAAAAAGGAATCCCTTCGCCAAGGTATGCAAAAGCTCAAAAAAGTCCGTTGACAACGTGCCAGATCCAACAATTCGAACTCGGACAAGGACATCGATGATTTCGACATTCAAACCGTGAACGGAAAAAAGACAATAGAACGTGACTGGATCATCACCGCGAAGTTAGGCGGCCACGACGCCCGCTTAAAAGTTTACACTGGTGCCCAAGCAAATTAGCTACCACTCTCAATTTTCAAGGGACTACGTCTTTTAACACCGGTGCACTTTACGTTCTTATGGAGGGTCACCACTGGAGAAAGTTGGAAAAGTTTCTATCGAAGTTCAGTTTAACGGACGAAGGGGTCGACTTATCTTCTTTGTTATTAAGAAACGGAAGCAAGCCCTTTTTGGCCTTAAAGCGTACAGTTTGGGCGAGTTAACCAAGTGGACTCGATAAGTGACCACAGCGGCCTCAAGAAGCGAGTGATGTGTCAATTCCCAGGATTGTTCCAGTGCCTCGGAAGAACCAAACGGGAGTACAAGATGGCGGTTTGCAGACCAACTGGTATGGGCCTTCGGCCTTTCTGCTGTACTCCCGACTCTCCTGAGCCAAATAAATGAAATGAAATGAAATGGTACTCACAGAAGACTCATAACTAGTAGTTATAAAAGCCCGACGCGTTCCACATGCTTTCAAGCTCAGCCCTGGAAGGCTGAGCTTGAGAGGATGGTCGCAGGCGGTATAATCACCAAAGTCCAGAAGCCCGTTGACTGGGTAAGCCCTTTATTTGTAGTAAGACGAAACACGGGAAGATTCGTGTTTGCATGGACCCCAACCACGTAAGTGCCGGCTTGGAACCCTACTGAAAAAAAATTATATGAATTTTTTTTCTGATATGTTTATTGGACACCTTTTTCATATCAGAACTTATTATTTCATATCAGTTTCATATGCCGCATATCAGTTACACTACGCTAGGTGGCGCTAGGTACCGCCCAATTCATGTGCTACAAAAATATATTTATTTACTCACGCCACCATGTAGCCAGAGCCGTATATGTAGAGAGTTTGGCCATTTGTTGGGAAGTATAGAAGACAAATGAGGAGGCGCCATTGGCCGAAAGCGGATTGGGCGTGTCTTTAGAAATTTGAATGTGACCAACCAGAAGCCGGAAATAATACCCTGGCGGTGGTCGCAAAAAACAAACCTGATAACCGCATTGGAGTAACTCTCGATGGCTGCAAATATGGTACACGTGATGTTTCAATCACGCTCATTGAAACTGATGGTGGAAGAGTGCGACTAGCGGAACGATCGACATAATCCGTAAGCCAAGCACCGAGGGCCGGGAACCTGCCGTCCGAGCTTTCACACTCTGTCCAAGCAAAACAGAGTTGAGCGGTGCGATCGTTTCTTACATCTTTCTGAATGATCATGATCAAAACAACGCGTGCACCCTATTTTCAACCACGATCAGTTACTACACTTCACTCTTACGCGCTTATTAAAACCATATACGAACATAGACCTTCGATCAGAACTGTTTCTCGCTACCACCGCTAGGGGATTCTTTTCGGCCTCGGGTTGTTCAAGACAGCATGCCAAGCCCTCTTTCCGAGTCTGCCTCACGCCCTGGCTCTGCCCGCGCCTCCCATTGACCAAACTCTCTACATATACGGCTCTGCATGTAGCGCATACCACTAGCATCAGTTGAACAAATACATTGAGTGCATACACGGCATACACACATACACGGCACAAAAAACATGCATACAACAGCACACCCAATAACTACTTGAGAGCTCTGCGTTTCCGCCTTTTATACAGGTCGTTTTGTAAGTACGGAGTTTTTCGGTGACCACCTACGCAATAAATAATATTTTCAGCGTGTTGGATTTTTTTCAGTAATGTTGTACCTCTGAGAGTATTTAGAACGGCTCAGGGGACGAATCTCTTAATAAAAAGTAAACGCCCATGCCGTAATTATTTGAAAGCCAGTAAATCAAGCCGCTCCACTGCGGTTCCAAGCCACGTGTTTGCTTTCCCGCGCGGCACCGTCGTGTACTGAAAAAAAAATTATATGAATTTATTTCTGATATGTTTATTGGACACATTCATATCAGTTGGCATATGTTGCATATTAGTTCTTGTATGTCGCATATCAGTTTTTAGGTATTTCATATCAGTTCTCATATCGCATATCAGTTTTTGGATATTTCATATCAGATTCCTATGTCGCATATCAGTTTTTCGATATTTCATATCAGTTCTTATACAGATTCATATACTTTTTTTCAGTAGGGAAAGAGAATATTTTCATTTGCCGCGTCGAGAAGATATCTCTTGGGGGTGTATAGGTGATACGCGTATACTACGAAACGGACGGCGCCCTCGTTGATGCGCTCCAGTCTTCGTCCGGGAACGCGTCCGAAAGCTTGGAGTCCCCTAGAGAGTACACCATGTCTAAGAAGTCACCTCGTACGGTCCACAAAATAGCCTTGGTTGTTTTGTGCGCAGCAATTGTTGCCTCGCTGGTATATTTTGATTGGTTGCGACGGCCACCTTCTTGCACAACGTCATCATCCGGCGGCACGTAGTATTGTTGCTCTAGTCACTGGCAGAGCGAGAACGGCAAGGAGGTCCCTTAGTTGTCCCGCCTCCCGAGCGCACTTCCTACCTTCGATTATGCTCTCAGCGTCTCGTGAGCCTCGAGCGTGCATATGCAGCAAAAGCACGGTGGAAGGCAACGGCCGGCATGCCGGTGGCAGGGCATCAAAAAACGCCCTGCCTTTTTCATCCTGTCAGTGACCATAGCGGCATTCCGATTCCAGTTTCTTCTTCAGATCTTTCAAGTGTAGTCCTGACGGAACTCTTTTGAATAAACCTTGCGTTGGCCGTTTTCGCATTTCATGACTGTTCTTTGATATCCTAGAAAATTTCATATCTCGTTGTCTAGAAGCGTGAATGAAGTCAACATTAACACATTCAACCCTAGAATAGGTTCTGGATAATGGCGAGTTTAAGAGTAGGGGGCCCCAAAGCTATGGGTACCCCAAACAGCTTGGGGCGTCCCACTGCGCATGCGCAGGACTTCTGCGCATACCCACTGCGACGCCCCGAGCTGTTTGGGGCATCCAAAGCTTTGGGGCCCCCTATTCTAAAACTCGCTAATAAGAATTTTTTGTAGATTATACGCAAGAGCTTTACGTTGACAGCGGGAGCACGTGACAATTTTTTGAGCACAGATTGAGCACGCGCGCGCAAGGCCCGCAATCCGCAATGTGCCATCTCGACGAGTGTTGTTTTTCACTTATTGTGTCTATTGTTAATTACGTATTTATTTATCTTTCTTTGCGCAGACTTTCAGACGCAGCGACGATGACTTCGCGTTCAGAGCAAGAAGAATCAGGAAAGTGTGTCGCACGTACCAGGCAACCTTGGCGGATCACAACAGACGCTTCCTCTACCGCAACGTCAGCTGCGAACAGCCCGTGCTCTCCAACAACCGAGAATGTTCCTTCATTATCGACCCCGCAAGGAAAGTCGGCTACTGCTTCATCAGCAAAGTTGCATCCACCACAGCCAAGACCATTTTTGGGCATCTGCTCAACATCAGCCACATGGGAAACACACTTGAAAGCATACACAGGGCCTTTCATGAGAAAGTCCACACAGTCTCACCTATGACGTTTCTACAGAGGAGCAGCCAGGAGAGCTACACAACCGCCATGTTCGTGAATCACCCCTTCGAAAGGCTAGTATTTGCTTACGTGGACAAGGTGATAAGACAACGTGGTGGCAGTGTCTATTTTTATGGGCGGTACTTTAACGACGTGCCTGGCGTCAGGGAAACGGGCCGGAACTTGACCTTCCCGGAGTTCATCGATTACATACTGGATCAGTCAGTGAACCAGATGAACTCTCATTGGACTCCGTACTACGTGACGTGCCAGCCTCGTGCCGTCAAGTACGAGGTCGTTGGAAAGCTGGAGACAGGAAACAGGGACTTGGCGCTCTTCTTTGAAGCGATGGGTGTTCGGTTCGGCTCAAGGATATTCCGCCGAAAAACACGGGTGGCGACCACGGGTTCCGCAAGGCTGCCCGAGACTTTTTTAACGAGCTCACTTTCCATCAGGTGATGCGTCTATATGACCGGTTCTTCTTCGACTTCGAGATGTTCGGGTACGACTTCAGGGACTACCTACACTGAGAGTGTACGCGAAACCTAAGGATAAGGCCAACTTGTTTCTAAGAGAGTTCTTCAAGGACACTGCCTCAACAAATCTGCAGTAGAGAAAACGATGAATCGTGCCTGAAACCAATAAAGTTATTTTTTCTTCAAATGTGTATTCAAAAGTCAGATTTACTGAATATTGTGTGTGCCAGCTGCATAAAAATACTGTCTTATATGTTGACCCATTCTCTATATTGTATACTGACAATGCCTCTCTAATCGCCGGTTGCCAGCTATCACACACCACAAGGACACGCAGCTTCCCTATACAACACAGAAACTGTAAACGACGTGATTAAGCCTCCCTCGTGCGCTGTATTCTTGGTGCTGTTTTTGACATTTGTCGTGGTTGCTGTGGGCAAGAGCTTGCCGGGGCTGTCATTTTATTAGGCGCCAAGCTGCACCATGGACCATACAAAAATGACTGAAGCTCATTTCGAGGAAAGTCTGCGCCCCAATTCTACCTCCTGCCTCTCAACAGTATGCGGAATTCACCTTTTTGAGGCGAACATTAGCCTGTCTGGTCCCCCTTCGTGCATCCTGCCGAGGTTTCACTTAAAGCCCAGCTTGGCTCAAGCCTCCCCAGCGTCAAAGCTGGATCAACCAATGTGCCCCTGCAGGTTCGCTTTCGGCGCTGCTTGACGGGCTCTAAGTGTTTACCTGGCCACGTCTTTCCCGCGCACCTCGAGTAAGTGACGGACGCCTGGCGCCAGACACAGTGCGTTTTTCCTTAAAGTGTGCCCCGGCACAGCTAACGCCTTCCACACTGCTTAGGTGATTTCGAGGTTATCACCCCGGGAGACCTTGGCCGCATCAATTTCTTGACACCTTCTCCTCTTCGCCTGGTCCTCGGCATCAGAATTAAGAAGCTCAAATTTCGATGTTTCAGTGAATGAGTTTATTGTTAAAATAAGGTGGAAAGAGAGGAAACGCGGAGCGAGAGGTTAGCCTACCAATGTGGGGTTATATTATTTTTCCGCTTGGGGAAAGGAAAAACCATGAGCGTCTGAAGAAGAGGAGGAGGGGTACTGCCTGGAAGTCGGGGTTCCAGTCGCGACGAGAGTTCCGCGGCCTCGAGGAAATCATGGCCTGGAAAACCTTAATCTTGGTCGTTCGCGGTCCTATTATCGAAAAGGAGGCTTTGGGTATATACTATATTGGTGGGCGATGTTATTTGCTGCGATTGCATGTTGACGATAATTCCTTGGTCCTCCATGGAGCTTAGAGCTCCACGCTTAGAGCGTCAGCAACTGTGCTCCCCCGTATTGTTGTGCGAGCCGCCATCTTGGTGCTCAGTGCAGAGCAGACCCAACTGCTAGAGAGTAGCGCCACGCTTTTCCCTGTGCCGCCTCTCACCGCGATTGGTCACACGCGGTACCATAGCAACGAGCTGAGCTGGCTCGGTTTCCGTAGCAACCGAGTGACGAATCGTCACGTGACCTCTCAAGAGCCGTGATGTCATCTGTCATCGGTAAGATGGCAGCGCCCAGAGCTGGTGGATGCGAGTTTGTTCAGTGCGCGGAGTCGTGATGTACCGCAGCTTGCAGACGATTTAGGGCTTCTTCGTGCTTTCTGACGTAGGTGTAACGTGAAGATCTGAAAGAATGACACTTTATACCCTTCCTGTGCAAGATCGCTCTGGATATTAGCACCTGTGCGACAGCATCAGTAATATCGCCTTAGCGGTGCTCGGGTTTCCGGATGTGTTTGAGGATCGATAAGACATTTAGCATGCAATTTTCGCATTCTCTTAGCTTTATTTGAACGTGAGTGTCTGAGAATCGATGCGAAATCTATGCGTCGCATGTTGGGCCTTGGGGAATTTGTTTTTGCCCCAGGTAACCGCATGATCACAAACTTTTAGCTAGGAAGCTCCTGCGATGTTTACGTTTTGTACTAATCAACCAGGGAACCTAGGTTCAATCCCCACCCCTGCCGGTTTCCATCTGGATGAGCATCGTACCGGCCTGCGGTTGTGTATCACTACTGCGTGGTGCACGTTAAAAACCTACAGACCCCAGGCTAGCGGTTGTACTGCATTGGCTAAATTGCTCATCTGCAGCGAGTGACTCGTCGCAACTTTGAAATGGCTGACCAACTACACGCTGTATAAATATTCACACAACTCCCAAGTATACTAATCAACGATTTTACGATATGCGCAGCGCAAGTTCGTCTGCTTCTTTTAGTAGGCGTTGTGGTGACGTCACAACGCCTAGCTCTGATTGGTTCTGAATAAAGAATAGTGGGTAGGCCTCAAGGCAGCTTGCTTTTAGGTCTACCCACTATCCTTCAATCGGAGCCACTCAGATCTCGGCGTTCTGATGTCACCACAACCCCTGCAAAAAGAAGCAGACGAACTTGCGCTTCACATAGCTTTTAGGATAAAATTTTTGCATTTTTCTAGCTTCCTTTGAAAGTCTGAATTTCTGAGAATCATAAGGAAAGGTATACGGCACGTGTAGGGCCTAGGGGAAATTGTTTCAGCCCTGGGTCACCGAATAATCACAGCATTTTTTAGTGAGGAAGCTCCTGCGATCTTTAACCTTTTTTACTAATCGCCAATTTTACGAAATGGCAGTTCTGAAGATTTTGATATAACTTGCTTTCGTTGCAATAGCTTGCATTTGATCGCAGTGTTTTTTGGTGTTTTTTTTTTTTTTAAGTGAAAAACTGGCGTTTGCTCAAGTGACGTATATGAAATGTCCTGCTATATAACAATGCATCAACACATACTATTAAACTTAGATGCTCAGAGGTGTGTTCGTCTTTGTAATTAACAAGTTACAGACGTATTTATTTCTTACGAGGGTAATATTTTGTGCTCCTTAATGCCAGTGTGCTATGACCTTATCATCATGTGTGTATGGTTCTAAATATCCTCTTTACAATGCCTACAAAGGCCAAAATGACGTCAGCCGACCCCAACTCACGCATTGGACACGAAAACTGCGTCGCTCGGATGTCAGCAATCAATTCGTGCATGGATATTTGAATTCGCGTTCCTGGCCAATGAGTGCCGTGAAAAAACTTATCATCACTTGCGAATGCCAAGTTCTACGGTGTGCTTAAAAAGCACGGTGAAAGCTTGGGGTCATCGCACAGGTGCCCTAGCATGTCACGACTGCGTGATTTCACAGTTCCCTTTTGAGTTGAGGATTACAGGTAAGGAAGAAGAAGTTTAAAAATAATTTTGTGGTCCCTTTAACACGGATATGTGTGCTACACCAGATAAAAACATTGACCTCTTGAATGCCGGTAAATTTCCGAACGACCATTTGGCTTGTCGGCAAGAACACCTCATATCCGGCGTCCATCTCTTTTGATAGCGTTAAAATTCCCTAGAGACCACCATGACGTCCTTCTCGGTTGACCCCCGTCGACGTCGCTCCTCACCAGTCGGTGAGAGAATCTCATCTTGAAGGGATGATCGGGTCTTGAAGAAGTATGATGCTAAACATATACTCGGTCACTTTGGGGCAGTCGAGCAGCAGTCATATCCCGAGCCAATCGTCCTGTCATGGCCGGCGTAGTAAGATTTTGTTCCATCCGAGCGAAGTCCGAAAGTACTAGGACGGTAGGTTCGTCCCACGAAGCGGCCGCCATCCCGGCGGCGCCGAAAACCACTCGCCTTGTCCGTGCACGTGCGATACCATAGCAGCTCTCGTCGCCCGACAGTCCCCGGGCTGCAAATCGTCTCACTTTTCAGAAAAAACAGGCACTGTTCCTCCAGAGGTTCTTGCCGTACCGCGATGCCAAGCGTCTTATACCACTTTCAATGAACGAATGGAGATATCAACTAGACTACAAAGGTTGCCGCCCGGCGTCGCTAGAAGCACCATTACCATGGCAACCTCCCAGGCCCAAAATGGAGATCACTATCAGCGCTTCTGACGGCGTGCATCTAGATAATTTTGCGTCGTGTCGCTACTCTGGCAGCTACGCTGCCATATAGAGTGGCTCTACCAACTGCCGGTCGTCATGATTCAAAAGTGCGACTTCCTCAGCATTGTATTCGGTGTTAGGAAGCTCATATAATATTGTCCTTTGCCCGGTCGCAAACCGTTTAAACGTATCTGGAGGACGAAAAAGCGTTTTTTTTTTTTTGTGTGTGTTTTCACATACAGCTTCAAATAAATGTTAAATAATGATTTTAAACGGTACCTTTTGAAGCGTACCTTTTTAGTAGCTCGAGTCCATCGTGTTCTGGGCAGGCCCAAAAGATATGCTGTAGAATTTCTGTCTCGTTGCACTGAGGACATTTTGGAGAATATACTCGTCAAACAAGGTGCAAACGAATGTAGATGTTTGCGCACCCAGTTCATAATTTTAGCAATAATAATTATTGCCCCTCGTGAATCTTTTTTTTTTTCTTTTTTTTAATGGTGACAGGTGGCAGTTTAGAGGCCGTTTCGGGACGAGGGTGATTGGTTTGCACGGCTCTGTAAATATTAGACAGTTTTAGTGGACCGTACGCTACAGCTTTGCGTACGCAAGGAGATTGCTGGTCGTGAGTGCGCATGCGCAGAACGCAATAGAGGGGCTAGCGTATTGCGTACGCACGCAATGCTGGGGATTTTGCGTTGCTGGCTAGCGGGCCTTGCGGGACGCTCTCGAGAGATCTCGGACCCAACGAGAGCGCCAGTTTCAAGATGGCAGTTGCCTCGACTGGCGCAGCAAGGGCGACGTGGTGTTTTCAAAGTTCTGTGTTACGTGAAATTGCGTGGTGTTCAGCTCGGCGATTCTTTCTGGGACCTACGGTGGTCGAATCAGATCGCCCTGCAGCTGAAGGAGTGCACAGTGGAAATGTTCGCCGCTCGTATTGTGCGTCGACGCTGCGATCTGCTCAGCGCTAGGCCAATTCCCACAGTTCATCGCCGACGGACGAACGACTCTAAAAGAAATCGCCGAAGTTCTCGTTATGCACTGGACGTCAGGGTCATGAACTTCATTGTCGATAGCATTGATGAAAGGTG